ATCGGTTTGCTAGGTGTGGTCTGCAACTGTGGTTCATCAGTAGAGGTCAATGATATTTGTGGAGTTTGTGGAATAGGGGGTGATGGCTATAGGGGGATGATGGTAGTTTGTGTTTTAGGCGGATGGTCTGCTGCTTGTGGTTGGGACAGGTCTGGGAGGGGACCATTATCTGTAGCTACCTGTGGAGGCTGCGAGACAGAATCAGTTTGGTTGACCAAGATCTGATCGGCAACAGTTGGCAATTTCACTACCGGACCTTTCCTTGCAGACCGTGGAGGTGGGGGATTCCTTGGGCAGTGATGAGCGTTATGTCCGCGCTCTCTGCAGGATGAGCACAGTGGTGGTAGCCAATCATATTCTACTTCCACAACGCTTTCCTGGCCAAAGGGAAGATTTACTGCAATCTTATTCGGCAGCGGAGAAAGCAAGTTAACTTCAATGTAAACCCGAGCGATGGAGAGGTTTTCCTTCGCAGCAGTGACTCGATCCAAATATAGGGGCTCACCAATACATGTTGCAATACGACTAAGGCTGTCGTAGTTGAAGAGTTAGTGGGGCACATTGCGGAACGTGACCCACGTTGGAGCTGAATGTAGAGGAGGCTTGATCGGACAAAAATCAGGCTTCCACGCCGATACAAACATTGGACATGAGCCAATATACCAGAAGTTTTTGCTCAGCGCAAAATCTTTCACAGCTTGGGAAGGCATTTTAAACAGAAACGTGCCATTCCCAAAATCTTTCACAGCTTGCGTTCACAACTCCGATTATCCGGCCTATTGAGGGTGGTAATCCGTAGAACTGTCCAACCAGGAATTCCCTCCATTCCCTTGCAGATTCAGCTATGGATTCCGCTGGAATTTCCACCAGTGGAATGCCAGAGGCATGGGTTGCAGGTGTTCCAGTTCGCTTTAATGTGCGCAGAGAAGATTGGAGTTGCTGACTCCAGTTGGATGGAAAAAAGTTAGATATATTAATTAGAAAAAAGTTAGATATATCACATTCTCATTAATAATCTATTAATTAGATATTTTTATTTAAAGATAAAATTAAACTTTTTTAAAAAAATCATCTAAAATGACATTTATTCAGTAACGCAAAATATTTTCTAAAATGACATATATTTAACAACAAAGAGAGTAAATGAAATGTTGCAATGTGTCAATAAAATACCTGTAACGATCCGAGACCGCTACGGAATGATAGAGCTGTCCCCACACACCAACACGAGACCTTTTAGCATGTTTTGTCCTCACTCGCATACATCCTGGAAAGTACTTCCCAGGAGGTCACCCATCTTAAGACTATTCCAAGACCAGCACGCTTAACTTTGGAGTTCTCTCTAGATAACCGAAAAGGTAGATGCATCTTGTTGGTATGAGTAGCTCAATTAATTCCTTTAAGTTATCTTTGACTGTATAGTCTCATACCTATATAGCCCTCGGATCTCTCTCATTCTGGTGCGTTCGATTCATCCCTGTACCCCCTACCCAGAAGCTCGTCAGGAGCCGCTCCTTGTCCGTGCCTCTCGCATCGGCGATCACTCCCCGCCCTCCTACGGTATCCTGGACTGTCACAGACCCACCAGCTTCCGCCTAGTTTGTCCTCGAACCACACCGTACTGGGAGAGAACCAGGCTCCGATACCATTTGTAACGACGCGAGGCCGCTACGGAATGATAGAGCTGTCCTCACACACCAACACGGGACCTTTTAGCGTGTTTTGTCCTCACTCGCATACATCCCGGAAAGTACTTCCCAGGAGGTCACCCATCCTAAAACTACTCCAAGGCCAGTACGCTTAACTTGGAGTTCTCTCGAGATGGATAACCGAAAAGGTAGATGCATCTTGTTGCTATGAGTAGCTCAATTAATTCTTTTAAGTTATCTTTGACTGTGTAGTCTCATACCTACATAGCCCTCGGATCTCTCTCATTCCGGTGCGTTCGATTCATCTCTGTACCCCCTACCCAGAAGCTTGTCAGGAACCGCTCCTTGTCCGTGCCTCTCGTGCCGACGATCACTCCCCACCCTCCTACGGTATCCTGGGTTGTCACAATACCTAAACTTATGAAATCGATAACATATGTCATCTACAAGTAAAATAATTCGCAAACAAATCAACAACGTAATTCTTATCAAATTTAACCACCTCAGCTCCACTCTAAAATAACATACAATGTCGATATCGATCCTGTAATTTTGCTAGACTTTTTATATTTTTCATAGAAATTGCTATTGATTTCACGAGTTCAGATATTTTATTGATATATTGCAATAATTTATATATTTATTTATCAAATTATTAGTTCGGAATTTATTTGACACATTCAAAAAGTTTGAAATTTTTTTGGGATTTTTCTTTATTATAATGTGTGATTTCATCGCAATATCAAAAACTTAGATGTCATAAGACTAAATAGAATTAAGACACAATGATTCTTATCAGTGGCGGATCCACGTTGATGGCAATGGGGGCCTTTGCCCCCACTATTTGAATTAAAAATTTTTAATTTCCTTTGTAAATTTTATAAATTTGTAAAGAAAAATTGAAATGCCCCCATATTAAAACGTTAAAATTATAATTTGCCCCCTATTAGATATAATCCTAGGTCCGCCCCTGATTCTTATACAACTTATAAAACTCTTATTTAAATAATAGAAAAATTCCATAAAATAGCACAATTTGTTTAAATGTACTATATAAATAGCTCAATTTTCAAATTTGCAAATAAATATCACAATTTGGTCAAATTGTGTTAAATTGATACCAATTTGGTATCTATTTAGTACAAATTGATTTCCTAACAACGTCATCAATTTTGGTATCTATTTGGCACAACATGATTAATTTGAGGTATTTAAAAAATAATTTAGAAATTGTGGTGTGACATCCCTGTCCCGTTACGTGGATAAAATCCAAATAAAATATTTAATTATACAAAAAAATGGAAAATTTTAAAAATTTTCAAACGATGCAACGGAAAACATTTTATATCAAACACACCAAACCATAATACGTAAGTATTGAAATCCACAAGAAGAAAATACATACGTTTATAAATACAACACATTTTAAAAGTCCATTTACCAAATAAGTATTGTTGGTGATATGTGTTTAAGAAAAATAAGAAAATTAATAAGAGTATGATTTGTAACTAGAGAAAATCGCATATAAATACTTGAACTTTTATAAAAATCCCACATAAATATCTAAACTATAAAATTTTTATATAAATATCTAAATTTTTTTAAAATCCTATATAAATACCTAAATATCTGAAAAAATCTTAATTAAACCCAAAATACGTTAATAACATCACCTATTTTTATTTAAAACATATCTGCTATTTTTATTTATTTGAATTTTTTTTAAAAGTCAAGGTATTTATATAGAAGTTTTAAAAATTCATGTATTTATATGAAAAATTTATAATTCAGATATTTATGTGAAATTTTTATAAAAGTTCAGCTATTTATATGTTATTTTCTTTTGTAACTATTGTCTTGGAGTGATGTTGTGTTTCTATAGTTTATCCAAAATTATAACTTCACTACTATATATTAACTATATATTAATGGTTAGTGAGTTGTAATTGTCTATTAATATTATTTTTTAAGGTATGTTGCTTTATTCATCGTCTTTAATCGAGAAATGATTAAATTGGTTATTGTACGCCACTTTTTAAAAAATATAAACTAATGTACGTTTTTCTTCTATTAACAAAACAATTAAAATCAGAAGAAAAAAAATATTGAAGTAAGCAAAATTTTTGCATTTATATAATTTCCTAATTGATTACGACAGTAGTAGAAGAATAAGAGAGAAAGAGAAACAAAAATGAAGAATACTAATAAAGTTACAAGAAATGAATATATTCATATTTTTTTATATCAGACTAAAATTATAGAAATAACAATGTGATTATTTATAGATAAACATTCAATTTTGTTCAACAAAAATAATTCATGCTCGTAATGCATGATTATTTTTATTTTTTTATTTTTTTATGTCTATTTGTCTTGTATAGTAAGTTTCCTAATTCATAATAATGATTTGAAAACTAAAATTGATTATAGTTGTCTAATAAAGCATTTTTCTTAAATATTTTATATTAAAAATAAATTTAATAATTGTCTAGTGATTAGAGTTGCGTTTTTCTTGAGTTTAATAAAAAAACAAATTCATTATTTGGTCATTAGTTATTTTATGTATTTAATGCTATATAAATAGATATTCTGTATGTATTTAGTTCAATATTTTTTAAAAGAAACACGTTTTGTTTTTGTTGGATTTAAATTTATTTGAAGTATTCAAAACAGTCTAATCCATGAAAAGCCTGGTTTTCAGAAGATCTAAAAAAATTAAATGGAAAATCTGAAGAATATTGAATATATATTATTGATTGTTAATTAAATCACCATAAAATCTATAAATTTTTTTATCAATTATGATAAATTGATATCTGAATAAATTTTTTATCATTAGAGTTCTCTCTACTATAAATTGTGTTTAGTTCATTTAACACATAAAACACATGAACAATAAAAAATATTTATATCTTTACTCACATTTCTATGAATTCGTTTTGTTATATTATATATATTTATCGTGCTCCGATAACCTCGAATATTTATAGATAATATGACAAACAAATTTTAAAAAAAATTATGTTTTACAAAATTCGACAAAAAAATAATCTTTTATTGTTCGTTAGACTTGATTTTATGATAACATATATGTGTTTTTAGGTCGTTTACTTAAAAAGTGCACAATATTAATGTTTTAGCTTTAAATTTGATTTAAGTATTCAAATTATCTTCATAAACAATGGCATCCATTTTGTAATCAAATATCAAATTTATATCCAAAATAAATCTAATTAAAAAAAATTCGTATTACATAATATTATGACAAAATTCGATCTGTGTTTTAGAGATTCGGGCCAATGATTTGATCATTAAATAATATGTATACATTACATAATACATATTAACCTTCTCCTCGGAGGAAGAACTGCCTTCAAAAAAATTAAAAAAATAAAGCGCGAGATAGAGGGGTTTAGGGTTTCGAATCGAAGCAAAATCCGGAACCGAAGGGAAGAATCGTAGCAGAGAAGCCATGGAAGAAGCTATGGCAAACGCTTTGGCTATCGCAGACCAGAGGCAGAAGATCGAACAGTACAAGCGCATCCTTGCCTCTGTTCTCTCCTCCAACGATATCCTCCAAGCCAAGAAGTTCATTGATCACAGTATGTTTTGCCGCATTCTCTCATTTCGCTACTCTTTTCGAATCTGCAGTACCTAAGTTTCGAATTCTGCGGTTCCAATTCACGAGGATGGTCTTGATTGGAATCAAATTCATGGTCTTAGTAAATTTCGAATTCTGATGTGTCGGTTTCGTTTTTGAATCCAGAATATCTAAATTTGCAACGATGTGATTTGAATTTCTCGAGGATGATTTTTGGTTTGGAACGGTTTCATGTTTCCAGTTTTGTCCGATGATGTCCCGTTGGTGGTGTCGAGGCAGCTTCTGCAATCTTTTGCGCAAGAATTGGGGAGATTAGAACCAGAGACACAGAAGGAGATCGCAAGCAACACACTTTCTCGGATTCAGCCGAGGGTTGTCTCGTTCGAGGAACAGGTTTGTCTCATTCTGATTTTAATGTATTTGGACTGATTGATAATTTATATATAACGAGAGAGAACTGCTCCTTTGGATTTGTAGGCACTCATTATCAGAGAAAAACTTGCTGACTTGTATGAATCTGAGCAGCAATGGTCAAAAGCTGCTCAGATGCTGAGTGGCATTGATCTAGACTCTGGAATAAGGTCTGAAAGTAAGCCGCATCCATTTTCCTGTTATATTCTCAGTGGTAGCTTATTTTGCTGTTGTGGTGTTATCCATCAGGGCTGTTGATGATAACTTTAAGCTCTCAAAGTGTATCCAAATTGCTCGTTTGTATCTCGAGGTATGGATTCCTCTTCCACATACCTTTACAGAATGGATTTTGTGTACTATCCATGATTTTGCAAGCATCTAAATCTTGTATCTTTGTAAGACGGGAATTTGGTAAATCTGCGTGGCATGAACGAATTAAAAGTTAAGAAAGTAACCTTGTGTAGTTTCAAACTTCAAAGAGTTATAGAGCATTGAGAAATATTCCATGGTACATGAGGCATCTTAACAGTCCTTTAGATGAAAAAAAGTACAAATCCAGTCTCGTGTAAGTATCAATTATGTTATGGGTTTTCTTCTGATTGGCAATATCTTATATGATTTGGACATCTTTTGCAACTGCAGAAGATATGTGGGTTACCAAAACTCAATTTTTTTGCTCTCTATTTTTATTGCAATAGTTTGACATGTTTCTCAATCTTATCGATGACCCCTAAGGGACAAACATTTCCCAACTTTGATATGTGCTTCAATATCCGAATTACTTTGTTAACTTCTGCAGGATGATGATGCTGTAAATGCAGAGGCTTTTATAAATAAGGCCTCTTTCTTAGTGAGCAATAGTCAGAATGAAGTATTGAACTTACAGTACAAGGTTTGATCTCTGACATGACGACAATAAATGGTTCCTCCTGGTAGATTAGAAAGCGCTGGGTTGCTGGGATAACTCTTTTCTTTGTCAGGTCTGCTATGCTAGAATTTTGGATCTGAAAAGGAAGTTCCTGGAGGCTGCACTACGGTATTATAATATATCACAGATCGAAAAACGACAAATAGGGGATGAGTAAGTGAATGCATTTTTTTTTCTCTGCTGCCAAATTGTATTCAAAATTTTCTGTTGTCGGTTCCTTTACTTATTGATCTTCTATTCATCCACGCCTATGGATACCCCCTTTAAATACTTCCTTACTGGGTTATTCCTCATCTTTTGACATGCAATCGGATATGCTCTCCATAATCTATTTCTCCAGTTAGTTTATTTGATTGAGTCCTTGTTTAAAATTTTACTTGAATTTTGACAAATACCGACGAAAGTGTTTTACTACCATTCATCTCATCTATCTGAAAATTGTTAACTGAAATTGGAAGTTGATGATACCTGATTATACTTCCAGAGAAATCGATGAGAATGCATTGGAGCAGGCTCTATCTGCTGCTGTTACATGTACGATATTAGCTGGAGCTGGTCCTCAACGTTCTCGTGTTCTCGCAACTCTATATAAGGTAATTCCTGCGGAATGTAATCTCACTTACCCTGATCAATGGTTTTTAATTTTCGTTTTTTAATATCTCTTTGTCTAACAGGATGAACGATGCTCCAAGCTGAAGATTTATCCTATCTTGCAGAAGGTTCCCTCCGTACTTGTCCACCAATTTGTTTCACTGTTGTTTAAAATGACAAACGCTCCTTTATATGCAATCTGCAATGTATTGTCATTCAAACCTGCCTGAAGTATGGAGGAGATTCCTTTTTGTTTTAGATATACAAAATGCATTGATAAGCGTTCTGATTTTCCACCTTAGATTATAAAAAAGTTTGGGTAACAATTGGTACTAAACCCTGAATCTTAACATGAATATTCTAGGTTTATCTTGAAAGGATTCTGAGGAAGCCAGAGATTGATGCCTTTGCCCAAGAACTGAGGCCACATCAGGTCTGGCCTGTTAGATAGATTGAGATATGCAGCATTCCATATCTTCTCACTTTGTTTCGTTCAATATCAATTTTTCACCTCATTCGTTTGCAACAGAAAGCATCATTGCCTGACAATTTCACTGTTCTTGATCGTGCGATGATCGAGCATAATCTTCTGAGCGCTAGCAAACTCTATACAAATATAAGGTTCGTGAGATTATGCATTCTTCTCTTGTTCTGTGTCTACATGGTTAGCATGATAATTCTCATTTGCTTCTCTACGTCCTTGATACCACCGTAGGTTTGATGAGTTGGGAACTCTACTGGGGATCGACCCGCAAAAGGTATTGTTGGAATCAATCTATGACCGATTTTTTTCCTCGCGTTTTCCACTTGCTCCGAAAGAGATTATTGTCAAGCGCTTAATTCATACATTTCCTTTTGGCAGGCTGAGAAGATAGCATCTAAAATGATTTATGAAGATAGGATGAGAGGTTCCATTGATCAGGTAAAATGTAAATGAAGCAGAAATACGTGTTTATTCAGTTTGATAGCTAGTGTGAGATTGGCTTTGAACTGATCAATAGGCGATTCAGATGCAATTGAAATGTTTAGTAAAAAAACAAAAAGAAAAACAACCCGAACATCTCTTCGGACCGTAACATCCTCTGGAATGAACCTTGGTTGTTCAGGTGGAGGCCGTCATACATTTCGAGGATGACACTGAAGAACTTCAACAATGGGATCACCAGGTTCTTGTCTTATAAGCTCTCCCTCTCTCAGCAAAAAACAAAATCATACAAGTAGAAATGGCCAATTTTGGTTAATAACAGAATAACCAAACCAATCCAAACTAGAGAAGTATAACACATAACCGTAGTCGAATCGAATCCGGTATATAAAAACGAATGGTTATAATTTCTTTAAAAAAGTAACCCCGAACAAAAAATAATCGGAAAACAGAAAATTTCTTTGAAAAATGAGTAGTTTTTATCAATAAAAACCGGAATACAACCAAACCAAGCCGATTTCAATATGAATGTAACCATCTGAATTGAACCCCAACCCTTACACCCAAGCAGTTTTGTTGGTTTTGAAATATAAATAACCGGAGACGGGGAACTGTATTTCAGATATCAGGGTTATGCCAAGCACTCAACGACATTCTTGACGGCATGGCTAAGAAAGGCTTACCAGTTCCCGTCTGATTCATTTTGCCCCCCGCAGACTACTCTGCAGATCGGGTAAAACTATCTGGTAACGCTTTCTGGCAAAATGCTCAAGTTTTCCCCGAGTCGCTTCGCAATAATTGACGCGGGCATTTAGTAGATGTAAGTAGTACAAATCTCATGGCTTGGAAGGGAGTTTTTCTTCACAAGGTTTCCATTTGAGTCTCTTTTGGTTTTGCATACTCATATGGCTATATGTTGTGGTAAGTATATTATTAGTTGGTTGATTCAAGGAGGGGAGGGAGAAGACTGTGTGCATTGGATGTGCATATTTATTAGGCACATAGATAATGTCTCAAGTAGAAAATAAATGAGAGCTGGGCTAAAATATCATTTTGATTACAAATTACTGGAAGTAATAATCAATTATTGAATCTGACAAAAAAATTATGTTGTTAAAAATTTTCATTCTGTTGGGTTTTTTTATTTTGTTGGAAAGCTAATTTAAAAAAAGAAAGAAATATAATCTGAAGAAAATATGTAACTAAATGTGTATAAATTTTACGGAATTAGTGGTTGAAGGGTTTAACTACTGATGATTTATAACTACAAGAAAAAAAAGAATGTTTGCGTTAATTATTATGTCATTTTGAACTAAATTAATTTATGCTGTATCATTTCCTTAACAATGCGGTTTTGTGACTAAAGGAAAATGTGCAATAACGATTAAATCTAAGCCTCTCAATCTTAAAAAAAAAAAATACAAATGCAGTGGTTATTCCCTCGATCTCTCACCGATTCACTCTGAAATCTCTCATAAGCAAAATCGAAAAAAAAGAGACGATACAGAGTTTATAAGTTCGGTCACGGAGCGTTAACGTTCCGGCCTACGTCAAGAGGAAACCGTTATTTGCTAGGTATAACAAAAAGAAATATTGGCAGAGAACGACCGGAGGTCAATTCCGAACGCCGGAAAACCTGAGTTCGCCGAGAGAGAGAACCAAAACGAAGAAACATAAAACGCAAAGTCTGAATGAAACCCTGCAAAACCCTAGGCTCATAACACTTGCCTATACAAATGACACATTTACCCCTCCGTCTTTTTTAACCTTCTGTTTCGTACCAAGGCTCCGAAAGCCTCCCTTTCTTTCGGCGCGTGTTTAGACAAAGACTGCATTCTACAATAAACATCTCTTTTTATATATATAAATATATTGACATGTTTTTGTGATTCAAATTTTGAACTTCATGCTTAAATAAATTATTGGAAGATTTGAAGGCAAGGCACAACAACTTGGAGGGAGAACGGGTGGATATGTGTCGGGTATCCGAGTTTTTGAGATATTTTATATTCGAATATCTTAGATATTCAAACTTGATATCCGATTTTAATCTCATTGGAGTCGGATATCCAAACTTGATTTCTGTTTCTTAAAACCCTAATTTCCTCCATCGCTGTCTTCTCCACCGCGCCATCGCCCTCGTCGTGTTTATGCTGCCACCGAACGACTCCTTTTAGCAAAAGCTTCGAATCCTACATGTTTTCTCCACTCGCAAATTTGTGAAAACTTTACATCCAAACACATTCTAACCTCTCCTACTTCCCTCGGGACCTCTTCACCGCTGTCTCCTTTGCATATTTTATGCGAACACTATCAACGTCTCCCGTAGGTTGCAGGAATTGATTTCTAAAAGGGTAACGAACAGCGACGAAGGAGATCGCGATGGAAGCCATAGAGAAGAGAAAGGCAAGGAGTAAGAGAGACCGAAGGGTATCGTTGGTATTCGAATATTTGCGGGTACCCGAAAATTGGATATCTTTTTCCATCACCGAAACATGAAAGAAGAGGGTTTCAACAAATTTTGTAGCAATGCAATTTCCATGAAAACACGGAGGAAGAACAAGTCTTCAAAGTCACAAATAAAATTGCACACATACTATGTCTATGATTGCCCTATTTAATGCCCGAAAAATGCCAGTTTGTAGACGAGAACCGTTGCTACGCAAACGGGTGTCGGGAAATCAAATCTCGAGGTTCCATGTCGTTTCAGCGCTCAGTTTCGGCGATTTCACCTCTTCTGCTAGATTCATGGAAGCACAAACCTGTCAACAATGAGAGAAACAAAGAATGGCAAAGTTCAATATGTATGAATGAAGAGTATTGCAAATTGAAGAATATATAATAAGCTTTACAATATACATCCAAACTTGTATGAATAGGATCGTGTGAATTGCAGAGCTTATGTCACATTAAGACTGAAAAGGAAACAAGTTTGGTGGCAACCTGCTTAACAGTTTACAGGAACTGTAGATTCATGAAACATTCCAACCAAATCCAACGGCAAAAACAAGTAAATTTCCTAAAGAAAACACCATCATTCCAGAGAAACCGAAAGCAAAAATCGTTTCCACCGAGCTGTACAGACAGAAACTGACTCCCCGGGCTTCAGAGTATGTCAATTCCTCTATGTATACAACTTAACATGTCGAATTGTCGATGCAACAAATACCCGGTTGATGATGCAGCAAAAAAAAGCATATGACATATGCTACCGTAACTACAACGACAGTAAAAGGAATGATTTGCTTCGAAAAAATCACCGTCTAAATGAAATCTGATCACCTTTTGTGCCGTTTAAGACCAAAACTTGCCCCAACTCGACAACCTAAGCATGTTCCGTGTTAGTTGTAGCCAGTATGACTTAGTTGACACCAGAGAACATGATTTTCAAGTTGTTGCTAAAAACCCCATCCAAGTCTACCATACTGTCTACGACACAATATCATCATAGATCGAACAAAGCTTATGCAACTAGGCTCTGAATCTAACCGAAAGTTGTTTATCAGTTAAATCAATTGTACCAAGTCTACTTCACTAGATTAGTCCCAAGTTTTAAGCCGCACTTGGCAAATAAGGTGGTCTGAAAAACACAGTTGGAAATTTTTCAATCCTTCAACAGAACTAAGTTTATATCACAAGAACAGCAAGATTCGTGCTAAACCACACAAAACCCTATCACATGACCTACTCAGAGAATCGTGCTAACCACAAACCCTATTACGTCATCACGTAAAAGAAGCTGTAATGTAAGGATTCGATTCAAAATCTGACAGGACGGCGGTACGATATGTTGTCTGGACCACTTTGATTTAAATTAAGCAGTCGGGATAATGGTATAAGCAATTCAATCTAGCAATGTCCAAAACAAACTGTAACAGTTGCAGGAGGACATACCTTGAAAGATCCATTCATCTTCGAATTCCTCGTCCATTCCAAACCCAGCATCTTACTAGATGTCTGATAAGTTGCCTTAACAACATCATCGTCATAAATCTTCCGGGAAACGGCAAAGTCCCATGCGTTCTTCGCCAAGTCATAGGATGGCTCGAATGTAGCTATCCCTCCATGAGCGTACGTATATTTCAGCTTGCAGTTATTCGTGCCGACCATATAATTAGCGGAAAACTTATTCGCCGAATCGATAGCTAGGCTCCCTTCGAGAATTGTTCGGTTATCCCCTCTGTTATGAATATAGGTCAAATTCAAAGGCTTCTCTGCGATTCTGACAGTGTTCATGAACTGAAACCTAACGTCCTGCAGCAGAACACCATACAATTAAACAAAATTAACGAGAAAATCATTCCTGAAATTACAAATTATTTGGAGAATCATTTTCTCAGCACCCCAACGGAACTTACAAATTTTCAAAGCTTTTCTAGAAAATTGTTGCTCATTTCTTCAGCAATAAACCGATTGAGCTAACTTTATAGGGTTTCCAGGGAAATCTGGTTCTTGTTCAGTAATCATATATTTCACTCTCAAACTTCCCAAGAATCCTAAACTAGGCATCATCTTCTGCCCTAATTTTCTATATTTCGTCGGCAACCAAACAAAGGATGCTGTATTCGCAGCTTCTTCAGTAGTTAAACAGACTGAAGCTAAAACAAATCGATTTTCTACGTCTTCCCAGAAACACCTGATTCCGCGTGAATTTCAAATTTTAGCATTCTAATTCAAAACTCCAGCTGACTTTTCCTCGATTTTCTCGCCGCAACCAAACAGCAAAAAAAAAGGGAGGAAAAATTACCTTCTTAGGGACGTTGTATTCGACGATGAAGAAGCCTGGCTTCTCGACGGCGAGAGACAGGCCATTCAAGCTGGGACCGGCGACGACAGTGGCGTCCGTCATGGTGGCGCGAAGCTTTACATCGCCGGCATTGAAGGCGACGGAGCCGACGCCGCTGGTCTTGTCGCCGTCGTACTTCCCTTTGAAAGAAGCCTTCATCACCATCGAGAGAGAGAGAGAGGTTGGTGAGAGGTGAGAGGTGAGAGAGAGGTTTTTCTTCTTCTTCGCGGCGTCTTGGGGAGACTTTGTATTAACCACTGTGACCTCAAAGAGCTTTTCTTTTCCTGTGGCCGACTTTCAAAGTCTCTTTCTCTTTCAGAAGGTTCCTTCTCCTAAGTCCACAAAGTACGGAACATTTTCCCGTGGATATAAATTAGTGATGTAAAAGGACTGGTTCGTACAGGCCCGTATCGACTCATCTCGAACCGGTTCATTTTTCGTTCAGCCCGGTCTATTTTTTTACGAGTTAGAAAAATTCTGATATATACTAAATTGTCCTAACTCCGAACCGGTTCGCAAATCATCCCGTTTTTATCTAATTATCCGAAAAAATTTTAAAATTACGTAAAAATTAATCATTTAAAGTTTACATAACAATATTTTGAAGTTATTCAACATAACATAAAATATTAACATAACAATCTATAAAACTATATCAAAATCAAAAAAAATTAACAAAACCAAATCAACATAAAAAAAAAATATAATATATCAACAACATCAAAATATAACAAAAATATACACCAACATCAACATAAAAAATATCATACATCAATAACATCAAAATATAACAAAAAAATACACCAACATCAATATATCATGAATTTTAATTTGCTATATAAACGGAAGAAATGAAGAAATTAAAGTATGAAACCCTAATATATTTTGCCGGCTCGCGAGCTGACCGAGTTAGTTCGGACGGGTTCGGAGTCTTCGGACTCATCGCGAGCTGGTTCGTTTGATCCGTTTTTATCTGATCTTTTATTTTTTTAGCCCAACTCCATAAAAAAACGAGCCAACCGCGAGCCAACTCGCGAGTTTGGCTCGTTTTGCCATCACTAATATAAATCATTTATAAGAAAATAATTTAAAAGATATGATCGTCGGGCCGAGCCATTTTTAGAATAAAATTAAATTGCATAATTATATGGTAACTAAAACAATCGGCTATTAAAATTATATTTTTGATATTCCAATGAAAGGAAATTGAGATAGAAATCGTAACCCCACCTACCCTGGCTTCTGACCTAACTATTTCAACACGTGAACTTATTATTATCATTTTCATTTCTTTGTCTGGTCGTTTTTCTTTTTATATTTTGATTCTAGGGTGGACGTTTCGGTACTCGAATCGGATTCGGTAAGAGAATTGTTTGATTCGCTTCTTTCGATTATACAAAAATACGTATCAATCGTTTATTATTTTATATTCGGTTTAACTCGGTTTGATTTCGATTCGATTCGGTTTTTATTAAGAAAATTAACAAAATTTCGGTTTTTTAGATTTTTTAAAAAATTCAGTTCAGTTGGATTTCGAAAAATTCGATTTTCTAAAAAACATTTACCGTAAAAATTTTTTGGATGATTCGATTTCAAAACGATACTATATTTTTCAATTTGGTACCATTCGATTTTAAGGTACACGTACCGGTTTGTCGCCCCTCCCAAAAGATTTGTAGTGCTAAATTTACTAAAAAGGGTAAGAAATTTCTTACCTTTGGTAAAGTAATTGACGTACATTCGATTTAGTTTTGTTTTGTTAGATCTAAGTTGAATCCAAATTGAATCTTAAAATATATTTTGGTTCGGTTTAAGAATGTCGTGTTACAATACAGTTCGGTTCCCTTTTGTGTACAGTAATTCTTGTTTGATTTAAATTTGAAATTGAATCAATTTCTTTTCAAATCCATGGATTTATTTTTTTCCATTTCTTACAAACTTGTCAATATTTATTTGCTACAATTTTGTTCAAATTTTATATAAAAATAATTTCTTAACAAAATCAAACTACACACAGATCGGTTCGGTTCCCTTTTGTGTACAGTGATTCTTGTTTGATTTGAATTTGAACTTGAATCAATTTCTTTTCGAAATTACGGATTTTTTTTTCATTTCTTACAAACTTATCAATAATTTCTTAACGGGCTAATGACGTCACAAAGCGCTGCAATTAGTGATGTCAAAGGAGCCGGCTCGGCCCACCTCGTTAAGCCCGTTTATATTCGGGCCAAGAAAATCCTGGCTCGGCCCAAGTCGCTCTAACTCGCGAGCCAGAACCAAATTTATCTATATCCCTTAAAAAACATCTGAAATTATATACAATTATATCCAAAATATACACCAACATAAAAAGAACATATTCTAAACCATAATTTATGTCTGAAATCATAAAACCATGTCCAAATCATAATCCATATCCAAAATCATAATCCATCCATGTCCAAAAACATAAAACCTTGTCTAAATCAGAATACCAATTACCAACCAACATAACAATTTCAAGTTTCAACATATGACAAAAGAACATTCACCAACCAAGTCACCAACCATCCAACAACAATATATCGTGCATTCAATTCAGATTTGTTGCACCATCACTTCCACCTCCATTGTCGCCTTGATTTCCACTTGCATTGTTGACAACTTCAACACCAAAAAGATATGTTAGTAACTTACATAATTACATTGAATAAATCAAAACAGAAGAATAAATATAAATATTTACCCGTTAATTCTGAAAAACTTTTATACCAAGACCTAGCACATATTAACGATTGCACACTTGAAGGGAGAAGTTGGTTCCTATACTTGTTCAAGATACGAGAACCGATACTAAATGACGATTCTGAAGCCACCGTGGTAATGGGAATGCTTAAAATATCAGCGGCCATAAGAGCAACATCGGGCATCCGATGTCTATTATCTCTCCAATATCCCAAAACATCCAAATCATGAAAATCCACCACTCTCAATCTTTCTTCATCTAAATAAATATCGAAATAGGATCTTTCCATTTCTCCTTCAATATCGGGATCATCCAAATCAAAGTAATCCTATAAATTTAAAAAGAACTGTTAGAAAATGTTCAAATTAAAAACTATTATAAAAATACATATGTAAGATACTTACATCAAGTATATCAATCATAGAAACAGAGCGTGATGAACTTGCATTTGGAGTAGTGACATTACGAGATGAATTTGCATTTACTGTTGTAGTAAGTTTGCCACTTACAATAGTTTGATATTCTTTGTACAACATGTACAACTTTGTCTTGAGAAATTCTAACTTCTCATTTGCACTATCTCCATCAAGCTCATTTCAACAACGCCTCAAGAATTGTAACTTGAACCTCGGATCAACTATGGCATCCATAGCAAGTATAACACTGTAATGCTCCCAATATTTGTTGAACTTGTCTAGCATTCTCAAACTCATCATTCTAATATGATCATCGCTACTAGCCACATTCTTCTTCAACAACTTTTCAATCTTAAAAATCTGTCCAAAATAAAGGTTCGAAGTACAATAAGTTGAACCAGACATCAAGACCGTAATCTTGTGAAAAGGCTGTAGTAGCTCACATATTCTTTCCGCTCTACCTCATTCTTCACTCGAAGGACAATGCTTATAACCTTTATCAATCACTTTCAATCTAGCAAAGGCTCGTTGATACTTTAATGCCTTCTCAAGCATAATAAACGCAGAGTTCCATCTACTAGGTACATCCGTAGTCAAGACAACACTACCACCACCTTCTATGCAACTCTAAAAAATATCCATCCTTCCTTTTGAAGCTTTCACATACCTTACACTATCTCTAATTTTGGATACAACATCACCAAGTATCTTTAAACCATCTTGCACAATGAGATTAAGTATATGTGCACAACATCTTATGTCGAAGAATTCACAATCACACAATAAATTATTGTCTAAGCAAAGCCTCTCTTTCAAAAGCTCTTGGCAGCAATTATTTGCCGAAGCATTATCTAACGTAATGGTGAAAATCTTCTTCTCTATCCTCATTTCTTCAGTAAATCATGAATCTTAGTAGCTAAAGCTTCACCGGTATGTGGATGAGGCAAATCTATGAAAGACAAAATTTTGTTGGTCAACTTCCAATCTTCGTCAACATAATGAGCCGTCAAACATATATATCCTACAGTATCGATGTCCGTCCAACAATCCGAGATCAAAGATATCATACTTGGAATCCTTTCCAAATCAGATTTCATTCTTTCTTTGCCATCTAAATACAATTGTTCAACCCGAGTAGCCATAGTATTTCTACCACAAAACTTAAATTCGGGAACCATATAGTTGATCCAATCTCTTAAACCATCATACTCCACAAAAGTAAAAGGGAGGCCATGAGTTACGATGAACTTTGTTAACTTTTCCTCATCTATTTTCTGATTCCACTTCTTCGTTATTCTAACATTTCCCTCAGCATCCCTAAACACAGACCTCAAATCCAAACACAACGGCTTCTTAGGACATAAATGCTCTACATGTCTTTTCAGAGTAGAAGTTCCATGTGCATCATGCCTCTGGGTATATGTTTGTTTGCAATGATCACATTGAACCTGTGTTTCACTAATCCTTGTAAAATGATTTCACACTTCAGATGTCAATTTTCTTCGCCTTTTTCTAGAACTTACAGTTGCTTGACTATCCCCAATTACCGTATTCTGAGTCTCTTCTTGTTGTGTTGTATCCATCTCTTTACTTCCATCCAAATCTTCCCTTGAATCCATCTGCAACAATAAACCCATACATTACATATTATATGCATACATTATATAAACATACACATACAGATTGTAAATATTGTACACAGATTATAAACATACAATATATAAACATACACACTCAAGAGAGACGCAATCGATGAATCATGAAAAACAAACAGAAACATTCAAGACAGAACAACAAACAAACATGAATCATGTCAAAATCGATGTGAAAGAGAGAGTATGAGTCAGACCTGAGCGAGTCGAAATCGATGGCGAAAGAGACTGGCAGAGCTCGATGGCCTGAGAGGCGCGAGAGATCGATAGTTCGAGAGTGAGCGAGACAGAGAGGGGGGAGCGAGAGACATATCTCGACAGTCCGAGAGTCCGAGAGTGAGCGAGACCGAGAGAGAGAGGCGGGATCGAGACCGAGACTGGTGACAACGATCTCAGCGAGTAGCAACCGGCGAGAATCCGAGAGTGAGAGAGAAGTAAGAAAAGAAAGTCTGCGACCATTGCTGC